TTGTCTTATTCAATTAACTAGGATTTTAAATGTTTTATATTATTGACAAAAAAGGAACAGTTCCTTTTGTTTATTATTATATTTATTTATTAACTACTGAATGAAATACGGGAGAGTAAAAATGTCCCATTGAAAATAAAATAAAAAAAAAAAAAAAGAAAAAAAAACCAATAGAAAATAAAAGATAGAAAATAAAAATTTAAAAAAAGAAGATAAAAGATATGATACTGACAAGTAAACGATTACGAGCGATTTTTCATTAGTATTAATAAATATTCATGAATAAAATTGGCACAAACTATTAGGTGAATTTTATGAATGGGAACCATCATAAAGTAAATATTTCACATATACGATCGCCCACGCGGTTTAATGTCCCAGTCTATCGTTGTGATATCGTGAAATCTTAAAAGAAACAGGGGGAAAAAACTGAATAAAAAAGAAAAAGAAAAGAATCTTCGAAAGATCAACCCTTAAAGATAAAAATAAGCGCCATTATAAAGAAGAATGAGGGCTTGTAATGGCCGTAATCTTTCTCGATCAAATAAACATATCTCTCTCTCTCTCCCTCTCTCTCTCTCTCTCTCTTTCTCTCTCTCACTTTTTTATCCATTTATAATAACTTGTAAAGAATCAACGAGAAGTATCAGCTGACATAGCTTGCAAACGAATAAATAAATTCTTGAAGTCCCAAAGAATAAGAAGAAGAAGAAGAAGAAAGAAAGAAAGAGAGAGAGAAAGAGAGAGAGAGAGAGAGAGAGAAAAGTAGTGGAGTGTAAGTACGTAGCTTTCGATAAATTTTCTGTGTGGACCATCTGGCAAGCGTTGTACGTACAATAAAGAAAGAAAAAAAGAAAGAAAGAAGGAGAGAGAGAGAAAGAGAAAAAAGAAAGAGAAAGAAAAAGAGATAGAGAGAGAGAGAGAGAGAGAGAGAGAGAAAGGAAGAGATAGAGAAACGAACGTTCGATCTCCTTTTTCGTTCTTTTCTTTTCTTCGTAAAATGAACCTTCGGATATTGGTTCATCGATCGAAACCAGAGAAAAGCGTTCATTTTTCTTTTTGCTCTCCGTCTTTTCTTTCTGCTTCTTTTTATTATTTATTTATTTATTCATTTGTTCTTTATCGTTTCGTGTAGATGCGCGAATTCTCAAAGTATTTCGAATGTCACGTTCGTAAAAAATGAAGATGAGAAGAGAAAAAAGTTGGCAGATATATATATATATATATATATATATATATATATATATAGAGAGAGAGAGAGAGAGAGAGAAGGGGGAGGAAAGGAGAATGACCCTAAGAAAACAACCATTGGAAACTCACGTTCTAACGATTCGTAATATCTCTCTGGTGGTTCGGAAATGGCGATATCGTTGCGAGATAATAGATAGTTTGTGGACAGATGTAGGAAAACGCGATAATAGAGGACGACTGTGCGTTTGTGAGGCAACGGGAGCATTAGAGAAATAGAGAAAGAGAGAGAGAGAGAGAGAGATAGGTTATGAGGATAATGATAATAATAGTACTAATAATGAAGAGTTTATGGTCTTGTAGCGTGTCTGATTGCTGTTTCACACGTGAAATTCTACTTAGTGTCATATAAAAAAGTAGAAAGAGAGAGAAGGAGAGCGAAAAAAATAGTGAAAAAAGTAGAAAGCAAGAGAGAGAGAGAGAGAGAGAGAGAAAAGAAGAGAAACAGGGGAGGGAGTAGAGAAAGATAAATAAAAAGAAAAAGAATATGTCGATTTATTTATTTTAAGAATGAATAAATTTAAATCAAATTTATCAAACATTTAAATGCAAAATTTTGATTATAAAAAAAAAAAAGAAAAAAAGAAAAAAGAAAAAGGAAAAGTGAGAAAGAAATAGACAGATAGAAAAAGTATATAAGAGACAAAGAATAAATCATTCCTAAGATGTTCCTTGAAATAAATAAATTCAATCAATTATTAAAATTTTACCAATTAAAAATTTATTAAAGATTGAAATGGAAAATTTTGATGATAAGCAACAAACGAATGAACGAACGAACGAACGAACGAACGAACGAACGAACGAACGAACGAACAAAAAGAAAACAAAACGAAAAAGAGAACAAAAAATGAGTGTTTAATAAGACCACACAAAGAATCGAAAAAATTTTCATAGAATATTGAAATTCTGAATAGAATGCTAGTTTCTTTGAGTACCTCGAAATGAAAAATACTTTCTGATTTCGTGTCATTCTTTCAAAATAAATGGGTTGTACATCTGGTTTAAAAAAAAAAAAAAAAGGAAAAAAAAGATAGGAAATAGAAAAAACAAAATAAAAAGAAAAAAAAAACCAAGAGAAAAAGGAACACAAAGAAGTATGAATAAAATAACGAAGTAGTACAGATACGAGAGGAGTAAAAGAAAATAAGAAAATAGACACGCTGATAGGAATGGAGATACGCTAACAAGAGAAAAAATAAAAGAAAAGAAAATAAAAGGACGAGTTTGTTTTTTTTTTTTTTTTTTTGCA